CCTAAACTGTGGAACTCATTGCCTCTGGACATTATAAGACATTTAGGACCTAGTTTGAAGTTTTAATGGTTTTTACATTATTTTTAAATGATCATATTTATTAAATCCCAGGCTTCAGTCAAAGCAGAGCATATTGCAACACAAATATCTGTATATTAAGATAAGATATGAGCTATGTTGTATCTATGTAGTCCACTGCATGGCCTCTGGTGTAAATTTGTCTTTGGCAACCAGCAACTAGGGCTGGGTATTGTTTGAATGTTTTGATACTGTAAGTAAGATACTTGAGTATCAGAACTGATAACAAAGTCATGCTTTTCTCAGAACCTTGATTGCTTTTCATTTTTTTTCCATTGGACAAAATATGCCAAACCTCTTAATGCAGCGTTTAATGTCTTGATGCAAACAGCAATATTCTGCCTTAATTTAAAGAAAATGAAATTATAATCTACGTAGATTAATATCAACATCAAAGAATAAATAAACAAGACTAAAAATCTGACCAAGCTGAGGCCAACTTTTGATACTTGACAGTTTTATAAGATTTGACTATGGACACACTTTAGATGGTGTTTAATAAGTACTGAGGTTTCATAACCAGCACATAACAACATAAAAATATATATATGTGTTCAATATCTGTGAGTGGACTAGGAATACCTTACATCTTGTGGTACCTTTATCAACGATAACTGGGGAAACTACAGTAAGTTAACCATTAGTTAAAGTTCTCTCTTCTCACCGCACACGCTGCTCCTCAGCCAGTCTCAACTCCTCGTCCCGCCGCAGCACCTCCAGGATCAGCTCCTGCTCAGACTCAGACAGGAAGCCCAGGTTGATCATGTCTGCAGCCTGGGGCATTGTGCCTTTAACCAAGAACCCTTAGCACAGGTTAGCTGGCTCAGCTCAGTCGCTGTCGCATTGAGAAGATCCCCTGAAGACAACAGAATATCAGAAATTAACTTTAAAAAAAAAAGGGATATAAAAAAGTATTTTCAGATACTGACAAAACCTATTATTTTAAAGACTAAACATCCAAAACGCCTGCAGAGGTGAGCTGCAATCTTGACTACCACTACATCGGCCTGTTTCTTCATTAATGTCACGTAAGCAACTTGAGAAGAGCTCTGCAGTAGAAAGAGCAACTCTGTGGCTTTATGCCCTGTGGTGATTAATACACAGACAAGCAGAAACAGTGATCCTAATCAAATGAATTATAGACGACTGAGGCATTTCTCTGTTCCTGTGGGCCTCCATGCAGTGAAACCTCAGCGCAGCGACTTTGTGACGATAGTTTGAGTACAAGAGTTGTAGGCTCCTTGTATGCATCAGTCAAAACTGATTTCCCATGAGAGAGACTGACCCTTAGAAATGTTTTCCATTTCACGAGAGGACAGGAATCGGTCTATAACTTGGGAACAAGCTTTTGGCCGAACTTAGCATTCCCCCAAAAAAATTATAAATGACTAATAGGAACCAGGATGCTAAAATCCCACAGAAAGCCTCTGCCCGGGTGAAAGGTTGTTTTAAATGGGACAGGCAAAAACAACACGGGCTCAGTCATTACATACGGTTCCCACCCTCTAAAGATACAGAGAACCGGGTGGAGTTTGTCAGCTTAGCCATTTGTTTAAGCCCAGCATCAACCGTGTCATCTGTCTTGTTCCCATCTGAAACTTCATGCTCCTGTTGAATTATCACAAAGGGAATTAAAGTGAGGGGAAATGTGCCTGTTCAGTAGCTAATCAGCAACTCTAAACTGCATGAAACCAAACCTGACGCCCTTTTTTTCCTCATTGTTTGAATGCCTGGGGCCAACCGGGGCCAACTTTGAGCAGGAGTTTGATAATAGCTGCAGGGCAACTTGTCTAAAACTTAACCTTCAAGGAAATGGCGCATGCGTCTGTGGCAGATGACACATACACTGCACTAACTGGATTAATGCTTCACAAAACAGAGGATGTTAATGAGAGAGTGCTTCAAAAAGAAAATAAAGATAAAAGTGTGGCAAGCACAGCAGGCACGGATGCTTGAACGGAATTCATTTGAATTGAACAAACGTGAAACTCAACAATGGCTGATTCAAAGACAGATAAAGATCACAAATCTGCGATGAACCAACGTTCAAATTCAGATGCAGACAGTTAAAAGATGAC